CCTCCTCCTCGTCATGCCACACCTCCTCCTCATCCTCCTCCTCGTCATGCCACACCTCCTCCTCATCCTCCTCTTCTTCTTCCTCTTATTATTGTTAATATTATTATTAGTATGATCAGTATATTGTTATTGTTCGTAGTCCTCGTATTATCTTTATTCGTATTATTATTGTTAGTATTCGTAGTTTCCTTCTTCTTATTAATAATAATAAGATGACTGTTATTCTTATTATCATTATTATTAGTAGTAGTATTATTATTACTATTATTATTAGTATTATTATTAGTAATACTAGCATTCTTACCATTATTAATATTATTATTATTATTATTATTATTATATGTATTAGGTCTTCCTCCTCCTCCTCCTGCTTCTTCTTCTTCTTCTTCTCCTTCTCCTTCTCCTTCTCCTCCTCCTCCTCCTCCTCCTCCATCTCCGCCTCCGCCTCCGCCTCCGCCTCCGCCTCCGCCTCCGCCTCCGCCCATTCCTCCTCTCTTCTCCGCCTCCGCCTTCCTCTCTTCCCTCCTCCTCTCTCTCCTCCGCCTCCTCCTCTCCTCCTCTTCTCCTCTCTCCTCCTCCTCCTCTTCCCTCCTCCTTCATCCTCTTTTCCTCCTCCTCCTCACTCCTCCTCCTTCCTCCTCCTCCTCCTCCTCCTCCTCCTCCTCCTACAGGGGGAGGTGGCTTGGGAGCGTCCAAACATGTGCTGGGGGGGTGGCGGATTCGGGATGTGGTGCCAAGGGAGGGGGGGGGGGGGGCAGCGGCCCGAGTGCACATGTATCACTCCCCCCGTGATCAGCAAGAAATTTCTAGAGATATAAACACATCCTCATACGCACCTCTCCGAGGGAGTAGAACTCAGAGGCGATTACTGAGGCCGTCCCGTTCGCGATTGTTTTGGCCATTTCGCTCGGGATGTTCTCAACATTCTGAAGATCGGGCGCACACCTCACGCAAATCGCGACGTCACAATCCAAAAACACAAGGGAAATCAAAAATGTGAATGCAAACCTTCAAAAAGCACAATGGTTTTCAGTGATGTTGGACGTAGCTCTTAGAACAACAGCCGTTTCGCGTGAGACATCCCCCAAACATTGAAACCCGGCGCACTGAAAGTTGTCCTCATATTCTTCAAAACGACAGTTTCGCTCGAGACATCCTCGAACAATTGGATTCGGAACTTCTCTTCAACTGCAATCGCAAGGTGTGGAACACCTTCCTGCGCCACACACACACACACACACACACACACATCGCAAGGAGTGACAACCCCACCTGCGTTCGACTGCGGTCCCGCTGCTGCACCTCCTTCCCCGCACCCCCCCCTGTGATCCTCCTCTTCGTTGTCCTCTGCTTCTCCATCTCCTTCCCCCCTCCTGCTCCTCCTCCTCCTCCTCCTCCTCCTCCTCCTCCTCCTCCTCCTCCTCCTCCTCGTCGGCTCCGACCTCCTATTCCTCCTCTTGGCAATTCCCTGCGATGCGCACGTGCTGCAGCTCTTCTTGAGTGAGCCTGGGCACGCATGTGCCACTTGTACAGGGGCAACAAAAACACCCACCAAACAAGAGTAGGGAACCGAAAAGTGACATGCCCCCGGCGCGCTACGCGCACCAGGGAGAGAGGTCCAGCGCGGATACAAGAAGTCCGCGCGGATCTCCGAGTATTTTATGTTTACGCCACCTTCCGTTCCCTAAGGAGAGAATCGGGTATGGCCAGGACCCCAGGTAAGGGGACCCGGTTAGTGGTAGGGCCCCGGAGCCCCTGAATTGGCCAGAACCACTAAGCCAGGTTTGCCGTAGCTGGTGTTTTTTCCGGGTTGCGGCAGTTCCGTTTGTGGAACGGAGCGGGGGGGGCGTCCCCCAGTACACATCACTGAACCAGGCCCCACGAAACCCGGTTCTGCCAAAGCCCGAGAGCAGCTAGCGAGCAGAAGAAACTGCGGGCGCGGGCCGCTCCTGCGCGGTCTGCGCCACGGGCTTGGCCTCGGGCTGCTGCTGCGCCGCCGGCGCCACGGCCGCCGGGGCACTCTTGCCGCGCTCCAGCTCCGCGGGCCTCGCCCCCCCCCCATCCCGGCGAGGAGGAGGGGAGAGGAGGGATGGAGGGAGAGGAGCAGGGGAAGGCGAGGATGAGAAAAAGAGAGAGTGTGAGAGAGAGGGGACGAGGACGAGGAGGAGGAGGAGGACGACGAGGCGGAGGAGGAGGAAGAAGTTGATAAGAAGAAGAAGAAGAAGAAGAAGAAGGGAGAAGGAGAAGGAGGAAAAGGAGAAGGAGAAGGAGGAGAAGTAGGAGGACAAGAAGGACCACAAAAGGCACAGGAGGCCCTCGGGAGGCACATGGAGGACCCGAAGTCTCCCAAGAGGCTCACAAAGGCCTCCGACAGAGGCTCCAAGACGCTCCAAGAGAGACCCTGGACTGCCAGAGTGAACAAAATCCGATGTGCTTTACGTTGCATATGTTCTGGTTTGTTTGCAACATGGCTTCACTATGGCGTCAGATAACACCAAGGGACTGCCCAGAGAGCCCGAAGAGCCATTCAAAACCACCAGGGCCTCAGGAGGCCCCAAAGACGGCTCAGGACAACCTCTTGGGGGGAGCCCCAGACTGCCCAAGAGGGCTCCAAGACGGCCCCCGGCGACGCGAAGACGGAGCCGCCAGAAGGCCTTTAGAGATGTTCCCGGGCGGCCCAAGAGTGGCCGAGGTACCCCTAGAAGGCCCCTAAAGACCCCGAGAGACCCCCAAGGGGCCCACCCACGAGAGGAGCCGTAGAAGAACCCAGAGATGCCCCGAAGCGCCCTCTTTTGTCCACGAACCCAGCACGGTGGGCGGACGGTCCGCAGACCACAGGATACGGCAACCACACCGTTGAAGCAAACACGCGTGCATTCACACCGCATGCCGAATGCGAAGTGCAGCGTCGGCATGAAGCAATCGTTGCTTCTACGATCCCAGGCGGTCTGTCGCTGCGCATGGCTGCTTGGGGCCCGAGCCAACAATGCATGCAGTGGAAGCCAGTCCACAAGAAACCGTCCACAAGAAATCCAACCCTGAGACCCCAGGACGTCCATGGATTTTTGGTGTGGGAACGTCACGCTCTCCATAGCAAAACCCTCGAAACCCCAGAGACCCAGGGCACCCTAGAGGCAAACGGGGTGTGTCTTGGCATGGACCTCCACTGTGCTCCATCACCCTCCGCCTCCCCTCTCCTCGCTCTCCCTCTGCACCTCCCCCCCCTGGACCGCCTCCACGCCCACCTCGCTCGCCCCATCCTCGATCCGTCCCGACTTGGCCCCGCCTCTCCTTGCTTCGCACGTGGGGCGAGGCGAGGCGAGGCGGGGCGAGGCGGGGCGAGGGGTCCAGAGGGACCCGTCCTACGACGAGGGCGGTGCGGGGGGGGTGCGGGGCTTTCAGGAGACGCGGTGTGAGCAGAAGTCGGATTCTGAATCGTGGGGCTTGGAGTCGGAGGGGAGGCGAGGAGGTGAGTTTTCTTGCCGCTGTCGTCGTCCGTGTACATATGCACCACAAAGATAAACGTGCTGTTGCTCCCCCACCCGTAACGTCTGGGGGGGGTGGGCCCCGTGCGGAGGTAACGGTAACATGGTCGGGCCCCGCCGTGGGCAGCCCGGGCGCTGGAAGAGGACGACAACGACGACGACGACGACCAGCAAGGACGACGACGACGAAGACGACAACGACGAGCACGAGGACGGGGACAACGACGACGACGACGACGAGAACGACGACGACAACGACGACGAGAACGAAGACGATGAGGACTAGGACAACGACAAGGACGACGATAACGACGGCGACAACGACGACGACGACGACGAAAGTGGCTGCCTCTGAAAGTTTCCGGAGGTCTCCAGAAGACCTACGGAGGTGTCCAGGGACCTCTGGAGGCGTCTGGAGGAACTACGAGGCCCTCGGCGGCGACGACGACAACGACGACGACGACGACGACGACGGCGACGACGACGCCGTCGACGACGACGACGATGACGATGACGATGACGACGACGACGACGACGACGACAAAGACAAAGACGGCGACGACGACGACGACGACGACAACGACGACGACAGCGACGACAAAGACGACGACGACGAGGGCGGCGACGACGATGATGACGACGACAAAGACGACGACGACGACGAAGATGGCCGCCTCTGAAAGTTTCCGGAGGTCTCCAGAAGACCTACGGAGGTGTCCAGGGACCTCTGGAGGCGTCTGGAGGAACTTCGAGGCCCTCGGCGGCGACGACGACGACGAGGACGACGACGACGACGGCGACCACGACGACGACGACCAGAACGAGTCCGGGGACGACGACGACGACATCGACGAAGACGACGGCGACGACGACCAGCAAGAGGACGGGAACGACGAAGACGACAACCACGACGAAGACGACGACGACGACGACGACGACGGCTGCCTCTGGAGGCGTCTGGAGGCTCTCTGGTGCCCGTCAGCACCACACCATGCCCGTGAGCACGGCGCCACGGCTATGGGGGGCTGGGGCTCCCCCCCGTACGCTCGTTGCCGTTACGGGGGGGGCGAGGGAGGGGGGGGAGCAACGCCCACGTGACGGACGTTGCGGGCTCAACGAATAAACAAAAGTCTCCAGCTGTTCCAAATGTTTACCGCCAGCGTGCCAGTGCGAGCGTAATGCATCTGGAGTCGGAGAGGCGATCGCAGGAGTCGGAAAAATAGGCGCAGGAGTCAGAAGATAGGAGAACCCGAACCGCAAGTGTAGGAGCCGAAGTCGGAGAGACGATCGCCCGCGTCGGCAAAAAAATAGGCGCAGGAGTCAGAAGATAGGAGAACCTTCGCACGTGGTAGGCCCCTTTTTTCTGCGCCTTCAAAAACGTGTTGTCAAACTTCAGGGCCAGAATGAAGACCTGTTTTAGGTCGGGCATGTCATCCTACAGGCGGATGGTGGACGAACAGTAAAGCAGATAATCAAAAATAATGTTATATATATAAACAGACCAAACAGCCCGCCTTCAAAACGTGTTGCCAGCGGCGACGCGACTCGCGTCGCCGCTGGCAAGAAGTTTGCAGCGCACGCGTCACGCGAGGGGCCAACTGTTGCGCACCGGCACCCACCAGGAGGCGCGCTCAGAGCACGCCGCACCCAGCGAGAAGATACAAGGGCATGACGCGAGGCCTCCTGGATGGGGCCGGAGCAGATGGGGTCTGAGGATCGCGCCGCGTCGCGGATGCACCAGCGATGCATCGGCGACGTCGGCGGTGCATCGGCGACGTTTGCGTGAAGCAAATCGGACTGCGCATCGAACCGCACCGGCGATGCATAGGCGATGCGGCGCGATCCTCCGACCCCACCTACTCGGGACCCCATCTAGGAGACCCCTCGGCCGTCCGCGTACGGCGGACTCCGACTGGCGCGGACCCCCTTCCCCGCTCTGAAGACGAAGCCAGGACGAGGATGAAATCGGGCGAGGACAGATCGGGAATCTCTGAGATCCGGAAGTTCCGTCCGAACTCTTTCCCCAGCCACCCCTCCCCTCTGCGCGCGAAGCGCGCCAGGGGCGACACACCAAAAGCGCCGCCCAGGGGTGTGGAGGGTGGGGAGAGGCCAGGCGCCGGCCGGAACGCTCTGGAACGGACCGATATACTCGTCCTAGCCCCGTCCTAGGCCCGTCCGAACTCTGCCCCCCCCCCCTCCCCCCCAGGACTCCGATGCGCGCGCAAAGCGTTTTTTGAGCTCCACGCTCTGTCCGCCACGTTTAGCGAGGCTACCCTACGGCGGGGGGAGGGCGCCAGCAGCGCGCGCGCGAAGCGCGCCAGGGGCGACACACCAACAGCGCCGCCGCAGGAGAGCCACAGGGGTGGGGGGCGGCCGGGCGCCCTGCGCCGGCCGGCCTCCCGAGAGCGTCATGGAGCCGACGTGCGGCCCTCCGACACCCCTGCCGGGCCCCCGCTGCCGGGCCCCCGCCCGCCGCCTGCAGCAGCGGAGCAGGCCCACCCCCCCCCGCCGTCCCTCCCCCCTGCCGAAGCAGAGCAGGCCCTCCTGCCCCCATGCGCGCCCACCTGGGACCCACCGGAGCGCCCAGAAGCGCCCCAATCCTGCGAAAGAGGTCCGAAGGCATCACCCTCGATCGCCGCCGCCGACGACGGCGAAAGCAGCAGAGCACTGGCCGCTGGGAAGCAGCTGGCAGAAAGACGAAGCGGGAAGGCGTTCTAAGCAGGCTGGGCTTCGGCCCGCACCCGATGGCCCCTCGGCTGCGAACGCAGAGAGGCGCTCACAGCAGGTCGGGGCTGCACGGTTTCCCCCGGGGGCGTAGGCGACCCGAAGAGGAGGAGGAGGAGCTGGAGGAAGGGGCGAGGGAAGAGGTGGAGGAGGGGGAGGGGGAGGAGGAGATGGAGGAGGAGGAGGAGGGGAGGAGGAGCAGGAGGAGGAGGAGGAGGAGGAGGAAAGAGGGGGAGGAGGAGAGGGAGGAGGAGGAGCAGGAGGAGTAGGAGGAAGAGGAGGATGAGGAAGAGGACTTCTCACGAGCTGTCTGCACCCGCTTCTTGCTCGGCGGCGCGCACCCAGAGGGGTGTCGTGAGAAGGGACGGGGGCGAGGCCTTCCGAGGAGGCGCGGGGCTCGCAGAGGGCAGGGCCCTGCTCAGAAGGGCCCCAGCGCGGGGGGGGTTGTGCGTGGCCGGGCGAGCAGGGAGAATGAGGAGGAGGAGGAGGAGGAGGAGGAGGACGAGGGGAGAGGGGGAGGGAGGAGAAGGGCAGAGGAGGAGCATGGCGGAGGAGGAGGGCGAAGGAGGATGAGGACAAGAAAAGGGAGGAGGAGGAGGAAGAGGAGGAGGAGGAGGAGAGGAGAGGAGGAGGAGGAGGAGGAGGAGGGAGGAGGAGGAGGAGGAGGGGAGGAGGAGGGAGGAGGAGGAAGAGTGGAGGGGAGGAGGAGGAGGAGGAGGAGGAGGGAGGAGGAGGAGGAGGAGGAGGAGCAGGAGAAGGAGGAGGAGGAGGAGGAGGAGGAGGCGGGCCTGGTGGCAGGGGAAGCGTCCGAGAGGACCCTCGGACCCCCGGAGGAAGGCGTCGGAGGAGCCCCCCCCCCTGTCTCCCTGGAAGGCCGCCCCCCTCGCAAGAGCCCCCGCCCACGTGGACCCCCGAGGCAGGGGGAGGGGGAGGGCTAAAGAGGCGCCCCCTGGGCCGGGATGCCCCCAGCGTGTCGCTCCAGTCTGGAGCCCCTGGTGGCAAGCCTCAAGAGGACCCCTCGCCCTGTGGGAGGGGGCCTGAGTTGGGGGGGCCAAGAACATGAGGGGGAACGGGGTCTGTTCTGCAGATGCGTCAGGCCAAACCGCTCAGCTCTATTATCCCTAATGCGAAGACGGGGACCTCAGTGAGGACATGTCTTCACTGTGATATTAGGCTTGGGGGTCATCTTATCCTCGATGACCTGGGGCCCTCTGGACCTCGCGATGGGGTGCTCTGGAGGCCGTGGGGGCCCCACTGGAACCCCTCTGGGGGCACCTCCTGGGCCAGTGGGAGTTCTGGTACCACCCGACGAAACAAAAATCTTCCGCCCGGAAAAACCTCGAACCGCGAAAAAAACACCCTGGGGGCCGAGCATTGCCCAAAAGCCTTCGCTCGCGACCTCGTCACCACGCGCAGGGGGCCCGAGCCCGTGCGCGCCGCCAGCGTGCGCCGCCCGCTTTTTCAGCTCGGCCTCCCTCCTGGCGGCCAGCGAGCACGACGGGGGCAACGTCCAGCTCGGCTCCACGCACTGGTGACCCTAGGCATTAGTGGGCCCTGGAAACAACAGGGCCGTTTGTTTACCGGTTCCGTTTTGCAATTTTTGTTGCCGGTTCCGACGCCGTTGTTTTACCGGGTCCGTCGCCGTTTTTGACCGGTTCCGGCTCCGGTTCCAATCCTGGAACCGTTTTTTGGCCGTTTCCGGTCGCCGTTTTTTTGCCGTTTCCATTTTCAAGGGACATTTTTGGGGAAACGGTGAAAAAACGGCCCTGCCGCTTCCGGGGCCCACAAATACCTAGGCTGATGTTGCCCCCATCGTATGTACCCATCGGTCGGAAGAAGCAGGTAGAAGCATGAAGTAGAAAGGCGCGGAAGCCAGATTGGGTGTCCGCCCGCCCCCTGAAGAGGACGGAAAGGGTGAAGCCACTCGATCCTTGAAGAAGAAAAGCACCTAAAGTATATTGGAATATGGGAATCCAAAAGTACCTACTTTCAACGACCGATGGGTGCTCTCATCGTACTTGAGGACCACGTCCCAGAAATAAGGTCGAGCACCCAGAACAGTATCGGAGCAGCGTCTCGAACGAGCATCGCCTCCCAGGGCCCGGCACGTGAAAACCCTCCAGTTTCGGTACTCTCTTGGCGCTCGAAACTCTTTCTGGTGATCAAGGCTACAGTACGTTGGAACCGCACAACCCTAGGCAATAATGAAATTTCGTGCGCGTGCCAAACAGAGCGGAGGGTGGCACATTCGAAGCGCGCAGGCAGCCGCTATCGCATCGCGCTCAGCGGTCGGGGGGGGGGCCCGGCGAGCCCGCACCAAAAGGTCCCTCTGGCGAAGGGTCCCCCTCGACTGCGCCTAGCTTACCAGCCTGGAACATATCCCTTTCCTTATGCTGGGCACCTCCTCATCACGATGCCAATCTTAGGGATTCCCTTATTTTTTGAGGGCTAATCCCTAAGAGTGTCATCGCCTTTTGGCGTGTCAAGTTTAGGGATAGGGATACGTTCGAGGCTGGTAAGTAGCCGATCAGCGGGAACTGGCTCGGGGATGGCTGAGCATCGAGCCGGACTCTGCGACGCATCGCCAGCAGTGGGGCCCCGCTGGCGAAGTCGTGCGGTCATGGGCGGGGTGAGCCGTCGGGCCCCCGTCGGCGGTCCATGAGCGATCGGGGGTCGAGGCATCGATCCCCCCTTTGACCTCCACGGGTCTTCTCCAGAGCCCCCCCCATATGGTTGGAAACGAATTCTCGTTTCGACGCCCTTATTGGCAGGCTGGGGTCGAACCCATGGAAAATATCAGTCTCTCCGCGGCACCCACCGCACAACAAGGACGACGAGGAGAAGGGAAGAGGAAGAGAGTAGGAGGAGGAGGAGACGGCTTGTACTGGTCAGGCCATTTGACGAGGAGGCGCGTGGTATGCCTTGGTTTTGCCTGGAAGCGAAAGCGGGGTAGGTAATCCACGCTCTGAAGAACGCCTCTCAGACTTCGAACCTGTCCTCCCTGGCCTCGAGCCGTGCGCGCCGCCCACTTCGGCGCGAACTCTCCTCGGCGCACCTCGAACCTCCAGGCGGCCAGCGAGGCACCCCGAGGAGGAGGAGGGGGAGGCGGAGGAGGAGGAGGTGGAAGAAGAGGAGGGGGAGGAGAAGGAGCAGGAGGATGGGGAGGAGGAGGAGGAGGAGGAGGAGGAGGAGGAGGAGCAGGAGGAGAAGGAGGAGAAGGACGAGGCGGAGAAGGAACAGGAGGATCGATCGCAGATCGAAATCTGCCCAACGCCAGGAGGCAGGATGAGGAGGACCAATGCTACGACCATAGCCATCGATGTCAAAAAGGGAAAGGAGGGAGGAGGAGGAGGAGCAGGAGGAGGAGGAGGAGGAGGACCAGGAGGAGGAGGACCAGGAGGAGGAGGAGCGACGATGGGGGGAGGAGAAGGAGAAAGAGGAGGAAAAGAAGAAGGATGAGGAAGAGGCCCCGCCCCCCCGCGGCTTCGGAGCAGCCGGCGCCGCCGCCGCCACGGTCTGGGAGCGCTGCGCAGGAGCCGGCGCCGGCGGCGCCGCGCAGGCCTCCTGTGCCAGAGGAGGAGGAGGAGGAGGAGGAGGAGGAAGAGGAGGAGGAGGAGGGAGGAGGGAGGAAAGAGGGATGAGGAGGAGGAGGAGGAGGAGGAGGAGGAGGTCGAGGAGGAGGAGAAGGGGAAGGAGGGAGGAGGAAGGAGAAGGAGGATGGGGAGGAGGGGGGAGAAGAAGGAGAAGGAGGGCCATGGTCTTCCTCGCAACGTTGGCTCAACTCCCGCGCATCGGAATCTATCATAGGCCCCGGCCGACAGACACCCCCCCTGGGAGTGGCCGCCGCCTTAGACGGCTGGCCACCCTCAGGAGAGCCGTCCTGCCTGAAGGAAGGCTGGCGGACGTGTATGCTGGCCCCTGATCAACGAGCTCTGGCCGCGGGACAGACCCGCGCGCGCCGCTGGACGAGGAGGAGAGAGGGGCAAGAGGAGGGGAAGGAGGGGGAGAAGGAGGAAAGAGGAGGGTGCTATATTCTATTCTATCCCCTGGCGCGTGTACCTGCTGCGGGGCGGGCACGCGTCGACAAACAAATTAGACCTCAGGGAATGTGCCACCCGATTTGGGTGGGAGGTCACGGGGCAAACGAGAAAGAAGCTCATGACCTGTCTTGGTGGGAGGGGCACTGTCATTCTTGATGTCCCGAGGTGCCTCAGCACAGTGCCTCCCGCAAACTTGACGAAACAACACCCCTCGGAGCGAAGCAAGGTGGTGGGAATCGCGACAAAACTCGGCACAAGGATGGTCTAGCGCACACTCCTCCCCCTCCCCCTCCTCCCTCCCCTCCTCCTCCTCTCCTCCCCCTCCTCCTTCCTCCTCCTCCTCTTCCTCCTCTCTCCTCCTCCTCCTCCCTTCCCCTTCTCCTCCTCCCCCCCTTCCTCCTTCTCCTCCTCTCCCTCCTCCTCCCCTCCCCTCCTCCTCCCCTTCCCCTTCTCCTCCTCCTCCTCCTCCTCCTCCTCCTCCTCCTCCTCCTCCTCCTCCTCCTCCTCCGCCAAAAGAGTCCATGTTGATGGCCCTGCTTCCTCTCCTGCTGCTGGGGCGACGCCGAGCACGATGCTCACGCGTCGCCCCCCGGCGAGAGGGGCGGAGGCCCGCTTCGGCGAGGGCCGGGGCGCTTCCGGCACGCGGGGCGCACGGCGCGAGCCGCGCGCGCGCGCGCGTGCGCCACGCGGGGCGCTCTGCGGCTGCCGGCAGGGCGCGTCCTCGAAGAAGCTGTCGAAGTCGTCGAAGTCGAAGGAGCCCTCGGGGGGCGGGCACGCAGGGGGACGAGCAGTGACGTAAGCAGAAAGACTCGGAGGTCCGCCCGGATTTCTCGGATCGGCGCTGGGGCCCCCTCCGCGTTGGATCCTTACTAACTATACGGGTTGACTGTGATAGGGGAACGAACAATGACATAAACATAAAAACTCAGAGGTCCGCGCGGACTTCTCGGATCGGCGCTGGGGCCCCCTGGCGGCGCCTCCAGCGCCGCCCCTGGCGCGCTCCGCGCGCCAGGAAGGGGGTCCAGCGCCGATCCGAGGAATCCGCGCGGACCTCCGAGATGCTATGTTTATGTCATTATTCGTTCCCCTATTACAGTCAAGCCGTGAAGCAAGGATGCGCGATTAACATGCAAGGACCTTGGGCCCCCATCTCGAAGCTTCTCGGGCGGGGCGCGGCCAACGAGAGTGGCGAAGGATGGACCGAGGAGGCAAGGATGCAAGGGTACCCTTAGGAAGGTAGCCTGACCTTACCATGCGGATCGACTGTAAAGGACTCGGAAAGAGGGGAAAGTTGCTGCTGGCCAGACGTCAAACGGGGAGGAGGAAAGGAATGGGCACTTCAAGGCAACAGACAAAATACAAGCCAGCATGGGGATGCAGCGGGACGAGGCCCGAAGCCTGCAGGGAGGGACAGTAAGTACTTATCCAGGTGCTCTCGCACGCCAGCCTGTGCTATCTCACACGCGGCGTTGGGTACAAAGCAGTAGCGGTCCCCAGCACCTTCGCCAGCCCATAAACTGAGGAGGTGGGGGGATGAGGAGGAGAAGGAGGAGGAGGAGGAGGAGAAGGAGGAGGAGGGGAGGAGGAGGAGGAGGAGGAGGAGGGAGGAGGAGGAGGAGGAGGAGGGGAGGGAGGAGGAGGATGGGGAGGAGGAGGAGGAGGAGGAGGAGGAGGAGGAGGAGGAGGAAGCAGGAGGAGGAGGAGGAGGAGGAGGAGGGGGAGGAGGAGGAGGAGGGGGAGGAGAGAGGAGGAGGGGAGGAGGGGGAGGAGGAGGAGGGGGAGGAGGAGGAGAAGGAGGAGGAGGAGGAGGAGGAAGAGGAGGAGGACGACGACGACGACGACGAAGAAGAGTAGGAGGAGGAGGAGGAGGGAGAAGGAGGAGGGGGAGGAGAGGAGGAGGAGGAGGAGGCGGAGGAGAAGGAGAGGAGGAGACCGCTCCTGTTGCCCCTTGGGCCCCTCCAAGTCCCCAGGATCCCTCTCCTATCTCGGCTGGCCCCCAGGATCCACGCGCGCGTCCGCGCGCCTTGCTCTGCTTTCCTGGTTCTCTTTGGCCTGCTGCTGCTGCTGCTGCTGTCCCTGTTGGGTTTCGTTTTGCATCGCCTGTATGTAAAGTTCAACTAGGGGAGGAGGAGGAGGAGGAGGAGGAGGAGGAGGAGGAAGAAGAACAGCTCCCGGTTCCCGGTTCCCAGTTCCCGGTTCCCGGTTTCCGGTTCCAGGTTCCCGGTTCCCAATTCCCGGTTTCCGGTTCCCCCGGTTCCAGGTTCCCGGTTCCCGGTTTCCCCCGGTTTCCGGCTCCCGGTTCCCAATTCCCGGTTGCCAATTCCTGGTTCCAGGTTCCCGGTTCCTGGTTCCCGGTTCCAGGTTCCTGGTTCCCTTTTCCCGTCGAAGGTTCTAAGTGGATAGGGGGGCTACAGGTGGATACCAAGGTGGGTTATGTCTGGCCCACCCTGGTTATTAGAAGTGGGCTACATATGCCCCAAGTAGCTGAGGGGGGTCAACGATCTGGGCTATGTGGGCTTCGCCCACTTAGCGGAGATATCTAACCCCACTTAAGCCATTTGGGGAATTTGCAATCCAATCCACTTATAACCCCCCTATCCGGACTCTCCGCGGTCATCCCAATAAATCCAGGCTCCTGGGTTCCCGGTTCCGGGTTGCCAATTCCCGGTTCTGGGTTCCCGGTTCCGGGCTCCCGGTCCCCAATTCCCGGCTCCGGGTTCCCGGATCCATGTTCCGGGTACAATTTCCAATTCCCAGCTCCGGGCTCCCACCTCTCAATTCCGGGGTTCCCGCGGTGTCCGGCTCCCAGTTCCGAGTTCTCGGTTCCTGGTCTTTCTCTCTCGCTCTCTATCTCTCTCTCTCTCTCTCTTTCTCACTTTCTCTCCTTTTCGTTTCTCCATTTGTCTCTCCTCTCTCCTTCTCTCAATCCTGCTGTTTTGCTGTTCTTCCTTAATTATATTTCTCTCTCTCTCTCTCTCTTTCTGTCTCTCTCTCTCTCTCTATATATATATATATATATATATCCCTCTCTCTATGTATATGTATATGTATATGTATGTATACCCATACATGTGTATATATATGTATCCCTCTGTCTTTCTCTCTCTCTCTCTCTCTCTCCCAATACATATATATATACACAAGACTGCAATGGCGCTTGGCGCCATGCAAGTTCGGAATGCAGGCGAAATGGCAGGAAAGTCAAGCGACAATTCAGCGATAACTCTTTGTTGCCTTTTCCGGCATCGCCGTTATAATGATGTTATTCGTTATCATTCCTCCATGCTTCTGTTTCCTCATTCTCGCCATACCCTGCGCATTCTCCCCATCCTCCTCAGCTCTTTTTGCTCAGGCTCCTCCTTGGAGAGCCTCTGGGGACCTCACCAAAGTTGCTCAGGCTCTCTTAAGGCCTTCTGAAGGCCTCCTGGGCGTGTTCTGGGGGCCTCTGGGGGCTTTCTCGGGCCACCCTGCCTCCAACCGCGGTCTCCACGAACGACCGGGTCACGATTTGGAATGCTTCGGAGGGTGTCTTGGGGCCATCTTGGGCCGCCATGGGGCCTTCCTAGGGCCATCTTGGACCCCTGTTGTGCCGTTTTGGGGGTCTCTTCCCTTCCGAATGGTTGTGGGGCGATTTGGGAGCCTCCCAGGCGGCTTCGGACGCCCAGAAGACCGCCGTCTTGAAGCGTCGGAAAGCCGAAAAGAGGAGAACCCCAAAATTCACCAAAAACCAACAGAAAATCAATGATGTTTGCCTCTTGGGGCCTTCTTGGGAGTGCTCTTGGAGGCCTTGGGACGTTTTGGAACGATCTTTGGGGGCATGACTGCTTCTTGAGCGTCGTCGTGGACCGTATTCCAGACATCTGGGGTCGTTTCGGGAGCGCACCGGAACGCCAGGAACCCGTCTGGGGCCGTCTCGTGAATTTCTCCCGGGTCGTCTGAAGAGTTGCCCGGAGGCCCGTGGAGGGCCAAATTCGGAGGGGGGGAGTTTTTGTCCGGCGTCCCCGGCCTTATAAGAATATATGAGAATAGGGATATATGCATCCACTTACACGTGAAAATAATAAACCGATATAGTATACATTATACATCCGAAAGTATGTTCCTCTTGGACTAAACTATGAGAACACCGATAGATCCAATTGGATCCTTTTTCGGATGTGCGACAAAGTCGTGGATCCTATTTCTGTCTTGCGCGGATCCAATTTCCCGTGTGTGTGTGTGTGTGTGTGAAAAAAAAACCGTGGGTCCGTGTATTTTCCAGGAATGGATAAATAATGAAAACTAGCATCCCAGACCCAGGGGAAATGGGATCCGCGGGGCACCGCACGTGGAGCATGATGCGATCCACGGACCTATGGATCTGCGAACTCAAGGTATGATTATACGGGGGAAGAGGGGTCTTCCTAAGACGGAGAAGGGAAAGAGGAAGGAGGAGGCACGAAGCCGAAGAGAGCGCTACATGTATCGGCTCACCTGAATGGCACGTCGCCTCCAACATTTGGGGTTCAAGAAGAAAATATTTCGGCCTGCGTAAGTATGTACGGTCCGCACCCCCTCTCTTACCCTCACTCTCTATGTCTCTCTCTCTCTCTCTCTATATATATATATATTTCTCTCTTTCACTCCCTCCCCTCCCTATCATTCTCTCTCTCTGTAGTTACAATTATAGTTATGTTAACAGGTATGTATGTACATGCTCGCATCGGATGTACGTGTGGACGTGTAAATATGTATACCTAAATGTGTGTGTCTCGGTGTCTACCGTTTCTCTGTCTACAATTATGTCTAGATGCTCATTACATATAGGAACGTACGTTTGTTTGCTGCCTCCCTCTCTCTCTCTCTCTCTCTGTACGCAGCTACACGACGTTATATATATATGCGTGTGTGTTCGGCTCAACAAATGTATTTACACAAATACCTATGTAGATTTAGTTACACTGCGTACAACGTTCTCTGCGTATATGTATGGTTATGTGACTGGCGGCGAATACATAATGAATGAGCTGCCTGACGCGGTACACATATAAATGTACATGCGTAACTATGTTGTTGTTTATGTCTCTCCTTCTCTCTTTCTCTGTACCTCCCTCCCCATCTACAACGACATACATACGTATATACACATTTTTCATATATATATATATATATATATATCTCAAGTGCATACGTAGTGAATGCGTGCTGATATCTCTGAGGACAGATGCTGATATATCTCCCTCTCTCTGTGTACATACATACATGCATACATACATACATACATACATACATACATACATAAATAGACATACATACGCACATATCGTGATACAAATAAATGTGTGTATAAACACAAATATCGGAATACAGACATGCAAACTGTGCATACACAGGTACCCACATAAATATATGTGCGTATGCTAGTATATATATACACATACATATACATATACAAATGTGTTTCATTATCCTTCGTTCTCCCTTCCCCAGGTTCCCCCCTTCCCGAACACATGTCCCTTGTCCTGCAACTCTGGGTTCCCAACTCCAGGTTCCCAATTCCAGGTTCACAGCTCCATGGCAGGTTCCAGTTTCCCGGTTCCCAGCCTGACTCCCGGCTCCCGGCTCCCGGTTCCTAATTCCCGGCTCCTGGTTCCCGGTTCCTAATTCCAGGTTCCCGGTTGGGTCCCGGTTCCCATGTTCCCGGTTCCCGCTTCCCAGCTCCTGGCTCCCGGCTCCCGGTTCCTGGTTCCCTGTTCCCGGTCTGCAATTCCCTGCTCCCG